ACACCGCATAAATTCAGAAACCTCTACAATAAATTAAAAAGGCTTAGATAAATTTATAAGGTATATTTTCCTCGTTTCTCAAAATGTGTGTTCTAACTGAACTAGAGTACCGTTGTCGACCGCACTTCACCGCCCCAGACCGTGCTTGAGTAAGATTAAATTACTCAAAACGCTGGTACACTAATAACATCGCGCTCACTGCTACCAACAAAGGGTTGGAACAAGGAGTGCAGAAAATCAGTATTCACTAGTATTTTAATCAGTATTCATTATTGTTAAAGTAATTTTACTACCAGTTTTCTTTTAAAATTTAACATTGTCTTAGATTTCAAATGCATAGTACGCAAACAAGATTAATGTTTTCGAATTAAAATCATTCCTTTGTCACCTATATAATATGCCGACAGAACATTGTATGCGTGGCATACGTTACGTGACTCGGAAAACATTCGTATACTTTTAAAGTTTGAAGACATATATGATCCTGCAGAAGCTCACATATTTGACAAACTCTAAAACTTCTAATTTATTCATAACCGTGATGTAGTGAATAGAAGTCTGTATTACGAAATAAAATGTTACTACAATAAGGCGTGAAGGGCTTGACGAAATATTATGATACATTTAAATTGTTTGAAAATGTAATTTTGTGCATAGATATAATATGAGTAAAATGTAAGAATATAAGTATAAAACAAAAACATTTAACCTATTATAACCATTTAACATATAACTATTCCATTCACATCAACCAATTTATATATATATACCGACGACCGGATGGCGTAGTGGTTTGTGTAACGGACTGCTATTCCAAAGGTCGCGGGTTCGATTCCCGCTCAAGTCAAACATTTGTGTGCATGAGCATTTAATGTTTGATTTAGTCTGGGTGTTTCATAATCAGTTGTCTAGTAACCATAGTTCAAGCTCTGCTTAGTTTGGGACTAGATGGCGTTGTGTGAATGTGGTAGAATATTATTATTATTATGATTATATAAGTATTTTGGAATATATGTAATTAATAAATTAAGCACTTCCATTCATATTCATTATTATTTTATACATACATGAGTATGAGATAGGGCACTACGAAATCTATTACCATTTATTAGAATGGCCGCATTCGGCTATAACCGCCAAGTTGTATTTCTGCTGATAGCTGTTATCGGACGGTTTGTTTGTCTTAGCTTGCCAAAGTATATTAACACAATATTTTAGAATGATTTATGATTACTATGAATTTGAACTATCAATCAGCTTGTTTGGATCCTTCTACATATAAAATAACTACATATAACACAGTTATTGAAATCAACATAATGCTGGATATACAAAGGAAAATCGACTGCTACAATTTTTATGAAATGAGTTGTAATAAATTAGGATACGAGAGTCATGCCAAAACTTATAAAAACTCTTTGTTTGCTTTCGTTTAGAAAACTAGCAATAATGTACTCCAGAGTTAAATATCTGGGCAATTCCAAGTATAGTTTTTATGTGTTACTTGTAGCCTTATCATGCATTCATTATATATTATTTATTTCTATCTACAAATAGTATAAAATGAAGTCGCTTTTTTTTCTGTATGCTTAGATCTTTTAACCTATGTAACAGATTTTAATGCGGTTTTCACCTACAGAGAGAGTTGTTCAAGAAGCGGGTTTATATGTATTAAACATGCATATTTTAGTAGAGGAAATCCGAGAACTTCAAAGATTTCTAACGTCGTAATGTAGATTACATAACAAAGCTTTGAAATTCGTGTAAAGTCGTATAAAACATGTTTTTGTGTGATTAAATTGTAAACGCTGGCTAAACCTTACGACATAGAATGCTAAGGAATTGTATATCTCACATGATATACAATATGATAATATCTCATATGATCTATAAAAAAGTCGCGGTAAAGTATATATTATGTCTATCTACTAAAGATATTAAAAAAAAAAGGTAATTCACGAAGTGATTATTGTGAATATTGTAAATTTGCAGTATCCAAATAAATACGTTAGGTATATTTGCCAAAATTGGCTTTTAAAGCATATCATCAAAATATAAAAATGAAAAATAATATCTTAGTAGTTATCAAATGTTTAAGGCCGTACGTCCGTCTCGAGTGGCAGCGGCCGGCAGGAGAGGAGCAGGCCTATAAATATTGCATATAAAGATGTCCTGTATTATACTCTTGTCATAAAAGTAGTATAAATAATTACTCGACACTGACATCACATTGGTAGTATGTACATTGCACCCGTGCGAAGCCGGGGCGGATCGCTAGTTAGTAAATAAAGTAGAAATGTTTGCAGGATAACAACAACAAAAAAATTGTGATTTCCTTTAAACAACTAGAAACGTATTTCGCATTTTATGAGTTTTCTTGTCAACTAGGCAGGCAGTACTATTGAACAAATTCATTATGAATGTAGAGAATGTAGAGAAATTTGAAGCGCTCAGTTTTCTAATAAGTAGCGATTAGTGCTAACTTTCAGGACACCTAAAAGCACTTTTTTTTTTTTTTTTTTTTTTTTTTATCTAAAAAAATATCTAAAAAAAAAACCTAAAAGCACTTGTCAACGAAGCTGAGTCATTAGTAAAACTCTTTACATTGCACACCTTAATTCTTAGCTAAGTTTCTTTTTTTTTCTTTGAATTAAAAATATATATTTTATAATTATTAATTTATAATATAATTCTCTACTCTACCTATACGTATATGAACCACTGTTCCAAGGTTCATATAGAGAGAGACTAGAAGTCGTGTTTGAGTTTTTTATTTTAGTAATATTATCTTTGTTTTTATCTCTCTGCATAAAAGATTGTTATTATGACCATATTTATCATACGAAAAACATTTTGATGTAAAATGTTGCCCAAGAGAGACAATATGGCTCACACTGTTAAAAAGTTATCAGTTCTCTCTCTTAGCTTAGCTGTTTTGCCGCCGTCGTATGGACGTAGTAGTAACAAAACGGCAAAGACACATATTTTGACTAAGGTGTAGAGTTTGTGAGTTAAGACTTGTAGAGTTAGAAGTTTAGCTTTACATGTCATCTGAAAACTCACACACTTTTGTCTCACTCATTGTGGCACATTGTGGTTACAATGTTGAGAAATGAGAAACAGAACTGACTTGAAAAATATGTTCGTTTTCACACAATTATTTATCCTGGATAGGAATCAAACCCGCGACCTTTAAACACTTTTACATTGTTAAATAATACGATATCTGCGTGTTAGTGCATTTTTTTGCTGGTGTGAGTGTAAAATAATGATATTATCAATTATTACATTAATTAGACCTTTATGTGAGGTTAAAGGAAGAGTTAGAGAGTGAGTGAGAAAAAATGTACTTAACGTACAAAATCTCAGAGATTTTGGTAAGTTTTGTATTCGAATGCAAACTTTCAGAAAACAATGGATGACAAAATGTCTTCACTTATATAAAAGTTTCATCAAAGAGAAAATCCTTTTACTTAGGCCCCCAGTCCTTAGGGATGTCACATGCAACAAAATATCACCGTACAATCGCTGGTAACGAATGGATATCCATTAAAATTGTAATCACATTTACCTAATACGGTAAACTAGAGTAAAGTAACACACTTAGCTATGTAAACGTAATGTACGGCTAGTTATAGCAATGCTAATTGCAGTATGTTCGTAGTAGCACCTACGTATAAATATCAAACTTGTTAAAGATTTTGTATACCTAAGTTTAGTAAGATTCGAGTGTTCCGCTTTAAGCCTGTTAGTTCGGCTAAACGGTTTTTTTAAACTTGAGATGCCAATTATTTCTTAGCAACATTAAGTAAACACTTGACCAATTACTGACTTTAAACTTTTTTTTTTTTTTTTTTTTTTTCGTGTGGAAATCCCCTCGGACCGTCATCCCACCGGGGTTTGCGGCGGGGTGGTGTGTCGGACTCGGACCGACTAAAACCACACGGTGTGCCACTCTGCGCCTGTAATAGGAGGGATCCGGGAACAGCTGTTATTAAGACATCTGGACCCCTCCTAGCGCCTGCCCGCAACGGCGCGGGCACCACCTTCGGTAAACTCTCTATTTAGGCGACGTGCGGCACACGCAGACGCCGCCTCCTCGCGGCTGGCCAAACTATTGCGGGTGGAGGGGAAACCCACCCCGTCCACCCGCGGCCACACTCGTCAGGGAGGTCAGAAAAAGTGCTTTTAATATTTAAGAACATCCTTTGTGAGATAAAATTTCTCATTTATTTAGAGCCATGTCACAAATCTAGATATTCGCGCACGGTAGGGATTTCATTGGTAACGCAACAATGCTACGTTTCCACTGTGTTAACTATGCAAATTTGATACTTTTCTAATATAATCGTTTGTTTTACTTTTTTTCTTAAAATATGAGAAAAAAAAACATGTAAAATGTTGCCAAGACGAGGCCATATGGCTTGCATTGTCAAATCGTTTTCAGATCTCATTTAGAGCCAGTTTTCTTTCTTTTTTAGTGTGTATTTCTTTCACATCAGAGGTACCTATCCTGATGTATGTATTTTTTGATTTTTATAACAAGGTGTCCCTATTACGAGTATATCAATTTTCAGACCTCTAGAATCAAAATTTGCAGAAGTCTCATACAAACTACGGAGTATTCTGTATTGCAAATTTATTTAAAAAAATATATTAGATTACTATTCGTATAAAAAAATCTGTCTTAGGGTTTGGTAAAACCAGTAAAGCAATTTTTTTTTAAATTTATTAATATGTCATATTTCAAAACCTTTTTAAACGGGTTTTAAAATTCTGACTTAGGGTAGGTTTTACTATGTTAGTTCAATACGTCTACCATAATGTAAATATATTTTTAAATAAATAACAACTACTACCTTCAAACTAAATTACTCTTGAGGAACTGCGTCGCGATGTTGTAATATATTATTTTTATATTAGTTTTCTATAATCCTTTATTGAAAATCAAAGAAATAGCTGGCAAGCGATTAAATAATGTATTTTCCTTTTGTTAACAGCTAAACTAGATGGCGTTAAAACTTACATGCGTATGAGACGGGTGCCAACACATCTACAGGTGAAGGTGATCAAATGGTTTGACTACCTTTGGCTCACGCAGAAATGCTCCGATGAGGAAAAAGCCGTCTCCTGTCTACCCGACAAGCTTAAAGCAGAGATCGCCATTAACGTTCACCTTGATACTTTAAAGAGGTAAGCGGTTAATGTTTTTTTTTGTTTAGTTTGAATTCAATGGTTCCAGCAATCCATGTAATGCACATGCACGTAATGGACTGCATGGATGGCGTAGTGACTTAAGCGGTCACCTGGCCTAAAACTCAAAGTACACCCAGACTCAGAACAACAATTTTAAGATCACAAAAAAGTGTGTCCCATGTCTCGATGTTCGATCTCCGCTTAAACGACTTCGCCATCCGTGCAGTCCGACCCACATCTGACACACGGCAGTCTGATCTCAAACTAGGCGGAGCCTTTGCTATGGTAACCAGACCTATTTTAGATACAGAACAAATTCGGAGAAATTTAACCTATGACCTCAGACTTAGAATCCAGGGTCGCTAATGACTAGGCCAATAAGCCTATCATGTTAACATGTAGTTTTTTTTTATTTTTTGGAAAATAAGACTAAGGCAAGCACAGCCAAGAACAACTATAAATTGACCACAAACTATTAATTACGTGGAAATCAAAACAACTAAGTTATCATATGTATACCTATTTCTTTTACGATTCCTAAAATTTTTCAGCATTCAATTGATCGTGACCTTAATAAAATGAAACCTTCTTTCTAAAGAGTAGGCCTATGTCCAGGAGTGGCGTGTTAAAAGCTGTTGATGAACTTATCGTGTATCATGTAAAGTTTATTTCAGTGAAAGGTAATTGCGACTCCATAATCAAAATTACCCGAACAAACCTTACAGGTTCATATGTCAGGGTGGTAGGTAAACATCAAACGTAAATATTGTTACAAAAATTCAATTCGGTTCGGTATCGTTCATATTCCAACAAATCTAGCAAAGTAAAGGCGGAATATAAGGTTATCTTTCCTGTAATGTTTATGTACATATGTCTTTTATAAACTCACTTAACTCACGCGGGTGTCGTAATAAGTAACCAAGAAATCGAATCAAAGGAGTGGGCTGCAGAGATAACTTTAACATTTATGTAAAGAAGGGTTTCGGAGAGTTTAATATTTATTTTGTCTTAAGACATGGCATTTACATTTTTAGATCTGATTTGATATTTCTTTACCGTGGGAGATCTATACTTCGGCACGAATGGGCCGACTCAACCGGAATGATAACCGGCCTCACAGAAAACCGATGTTACGCAGGTTTTTCGTTGCTTTTCACCGTGTGAGTGAGGTTATCGGGGTCCAATAGAATTGCAGGTGTCTATGGCGGCAGTAGTCACTTACCATCAGGTGAGCCGTCTGTATGTTTGCCCAAACATACTTACCAACAATACTTCCGACGCGGAACTAACGTGGCAGAAACGGCTTGCAATTTCAACGCTGCGTTCGGAGAGGATACTGAACCACCTGGATGGATGGATGGATGGAAGCCGATCCGAGTCAAACTATTCAGGAATTAGAGGCATGGCTTAACGGGTAGAGTAACCTACAATGTTGAAAAATTTGCATCAAATCAGATAAAAAAATAAGAAAATGGGTGCCTCATGATTTGACTGTATACGTGTTGCCTTGTTAAGTCAGTACAGAAATGAAGGAATATTGGATAGAATTTTGACATGTGACCAAAAGTGGTTTGTTTACGATAATCGTAAGCGAAAACAGTCTGACCCCAGGTTAAACGCCAACAGTGCCCTTTTTTTGATTTTTTTTTGTCCGTGCGGAAATCCCCTTTGGATACCACCTATCGGTGGCATGTCGGACTCGAACCGACTAAAACCACACACCGTCTCGGGTACTAATAGCCGGGGAACTAGGTATACCCTAGAAAGGAAGTCCCTGGTGCCCCGACATACCTCGGGCCATCTACAGACGAGTAGACGACCGTGTGGGAATCCCATGTTCCCTCTGCTCCTTGGAAGCGAGCTCGCTTCGCAACACGCTCGCCTCCACCCCGGCCTGCTTCTGCTAGGGTAACAAATGGCCTCACCTGTCACCCCCAGGCCTGCGCTTATGGAGGATGGAGGTCATTTTGCGACCTCCGGCACCTGAGTCGCCTGCGGTACCTGGCCCGTTCCCGGGCCTGGCGGGCCGGGAGAGTTCTAAACCTCTCCCGGTCCCGCTCCGCCGCAAGCATAACTTGCTCGCAGAAGGAGACGGCAGAGTTCCACGCACTCTCGCTCCGCACGATAGCCGCAATCAGGCTATCGAGCGAGAGAACTCCCACTCCGACGCCAACAGTCCCCTAAAGCGAAGCTTACCAATAAAAAGGCAATGGTATCTATTTGGTGGTCTCTTAATGGTGTTATTTACTATAGCTTTCTCAGGTCTGGTCAGTCAATAATCAGATGTTTACTGAGCCAAACTTCGAACGAATCGTGCAGTGAAATAGCCCCGACTCGAGAATCGATCTTCACCGTTATTGCTCCATGATAACGCAAGACTTCACATTGCACGAGAAACCGTTGCAACTCTACAGGAGCTGCAGTTAAAAATCATGCGTCATTCTCCGCCGACTACCATTTTTTTCGTTTTTTGGGCAATTTTCTACGTAATAAAAAAATTTCTTCCTAGGAGGCAGTACAAAATGCTTTCACACAAAATGTTTGTCGAATCTAGATCCTCAGAGTTCTATCCAATAATCTAAAGGCATAAATTAACTTCCGTTTAGATGGCTGTAATGTATAGATAATGAGGGTAATTATTTTAATTAAATAAATATGTTATATCTTAGAAAAAAACGAGTTTCAATTTTTCAGTCCAACTCGGCAATTTCATACTTTAACCCTTAATATTATAAAAAGGTAAAATTTGTATGTTCGGGGTAATCTCCGGTACTACTTATTCGATTTTGAAAATTATTTTATAAAGGTATATTATTCCTGTGCTAAAGACTACTTTTCACCGCGATAACCGACATACGCGCGGGTGAAGCTGCGGGCAAAAGCTGGTAATTAATAAGTATTACAAATGCAAAGGAAGGATTTGAGAAAATGATTTATCACTAATACGAATAAAAAGCAATACGCTTTTAAATTAAAGTTTATTTTAAATGTAGAGGTGCAGTAGAAAGGTTAATAGATACTCAGCCTAAAGGTCTCAAGTTTGTTCAGTTTAAAATAAATCAAATGATTATACTAATATAGATTTTAAATAATCGTGAATCGGAATGTAACAATAAAAACAGGACTTGAGATAATGTAGTAGGACTAAAACCTATTTCATACGTATACTTACATATCGGTATTTATATATTAATATAAAAAGACGTCAATACGATATTGGTATTATCATATTAGATGTCTATTATTAGACATGAAATGTATTAACTATCACTACGTTTGCTTGAGATGTAATTGGCGATGTGAGTATTTGATTACCAATCACGCAACCAAACATTTGATGAGCGAATTAATAAAATAATATTATTATAATATTGGGGGTCAATTTACTTGAACTTACGCTTGTATATCCTCAAAGGGCAAACAGGGGAGTTTTATACAAAAATTACAACACCCATTGATGTTCTCACATAGTTTAGGAACCTTAACTAGGTATTTAGCGCAAAATTGCTGTAAAGCTAAAATATTGATTTATTATTTATTTATTTATAGTTAAATAAAACGGTAAAAATCAAATACATTAATTAACTAATAGTTAGAATTCTGACAATACAAATAAACATAAAATAAAAAATCTTAAAAAAAATAACAATAAAAATATTAAAAAAGAAGCTGACCAATGCGTCACGTACTTAAAATCTGAAAGAAATCTTTTAAACATCAAAATAATATAAATAGTGACTGTACGGATGACGTATTAGCACACGGCTCAGGAATTATTATTAGCAGTTATCAATCTAAATACGAGTAGGTTTTATTGACCGCGGGTTATCAGAGGCTCTCCGGCGGCGGGCGGTCAATTAAACCTAAGTACAAAGTGGGGATCTAACTAACCCTAAACTAACACCTATCTCAGTGCAATTTAACGCCTGTTTCGATATTATCAATGGTTGCTCAACAGCCTAATAGGTGCCATACTAAAAAGGTGTGACTATTCACCTCCTTATCCTATTTGGCCCTACTAATTCCTCACAGAAATTTCAAACTAATACTGTGAGTTATGGTCTTCTATAGGTTATGTCATTCGTCTGCTTCTACTTTAAGTACTTATATTCTCTGCTAAATTAATATATTTAGTACAAACATATTCAGTAAAACACAAACGTTGTCAGAATGTTATAACAGTTTTAAATTATTAAACCCACCTTTCAGTACCAAACCGTTAGACACAACGTCATCGGTAGAAAAAGAGGTTATTAGTATTCACCCGCCGTGTAGGACGCATGAATGTTTTTCTAAATAGAATCATGCGCCTAAATGCTGAGTCACACAGCTTGTTCCCCAAATGGTCTCAGGTGTTTACAAAATTATAAGCTGCTTACTTTAAGAAAAGTAATCCGGACAATTCTGTATGCCCATGATATAATGGGCACACAGAATTGCCCATGAAATTATATGCATGCATGTACATATTAATATATGCTACAGCAAACGATTTTATTGTAAAGTAGAATTTAAAATTTCATGCCTGAGCTATTTTTTAAACAGATAACTAATATCTATTTAATGTGCAAAAACTATTTACTACTTATTTAGATGTATTTTTTTAAATTAAAACATGAGGCTAATCATGTTTTAATTTAAAAAATACATCTAATCATTAATATCATCATTCTAATAATTTGACGTTACAGTTACGTTGACATGCATGAAAATATACTGTCTTTTTAACGTCGTTGTAAGAAAACGATAAAAAAATCACCGTGTAGATACATTTCTAATTGGTGTTAGGATTTTCTTTTTATTTTTAAACGGTTTTTCATGAGTGATTTACATTTAAAGTTGGGTAGAGTTTGTGTGAAAATACGGATCTTCGTAAACGTAAAACTTTTTAATTATTTTTTTTTTGCTGCCGAATGTAAATTTATAACAACTAAAAGAGTCACTTAAGCGCTGAAGTTTCGATGTACCCTCTCAAACTGTTAAGGAACTCTATTTAAAAACAAACTTATGATTATTGACTAACATTTAAAATGGACGTAAGACTACTAGATCAAGTTCGAAAGCACTTGGTGCATAAACTAAATAACCCTACATTTCTTATATCAACATTAGATGAGAAACTATGAACAACTTTCTGACAATTGTGTTACAAAATACTGCTTTATTTTTACTATAAATTTATGACAACTGGTGACCATCCTGATTGCGAGGAAAACCAAATTCTAAAGAAGAAGTGACTGAAAGGCAAATCGTGAGTTAAGAAATTCAGGAGAAGGAAAGAAACAACGAAGAAGAATATCATTGGGGGAAAGGTTTCTGTCATTTGCATTGCATGAAAGTAGGCATTAAAATACGTTGGCAAAGACAGATTATTGAGTATAGGTTATAGTAAATAAAACAGTGAGAGTATCTAATTTGCAACGTTGTCGAATAGATACAATTTACCTGCAAACAAAAAGAGGATACATGTTCACCATCGAATTCAGCCATTATGAAGACGATATTGATTATTAAGAAGGTCTACATTTAGGTCATAGCTGAGCACAGCACCATTAGTCGATTAAGAGGAACAAATTGCAAGTAACAAAGTTACCGTAATAATCATTTTCCGATTAGTATTTTAATGGAATATAGTGTACATTAATACGAAGATGGTACGCAAGTATCACGAACAATTCAATTGATTTTGCAAGTGGCAGCTACAAAGGGTTCTCAAAACTTGGCTTCAACGATAATCAATTTGTCACTACATTTAAGGCATTAGTTAAGTAAAGATTAAATTTAATTTACGTTAAGCTTATCTCTGGGTTTATTTACTCTGTAACTTTAGAAATATTATAATTGAATACTATTCTAATACTATACTTATGTAATTTATTGATTACAAGCGGTAAGGTGTTATGTTGGACTTAAAAACAACTAAAAACCATACATATCTCATGTTTACCTCATAGAAAGAAACACCTTGTAAAGGCCGGTGGACAGGGAACATACTGTCAAGTTCTATCCAATTCAGAAAGATACGCGTGGCAGGGCAACAAGGCAAGGCAAGCTGTCGTGGAGGTTTGGGATCACTCCCGTGCTCTTTTCATCGCTTCTTAGGCCAACACCACTTCACCAGAAGGTGACGCGACTACTACAAAATAGAAAAAAAAACTTACTTAATTGTTTAAATGAAGAACTTGCATTGAACTTGAGTTGCCGAAATCAAATCAAATAATGATAATAATAACTAGCAAGATGTGTCAAGTTATTATTATCATTATTTACACACGGCCGTCTCATACCATAGATGGGCCCCTAACCAGACTAATCAGCAGTCTATATACATACTTGTATCGTTGGTCTAGACGTGACACCTCATATGTGTAAACCGATAAGCTTTTTAGAAGAGAAAAATAAACTGTTTTACCAAATAGACAACCTATAATTTTTTACTCATTTTAAACTAAAATAATAAACGCAAATACTGAACTTTTTGTACAATTTTTTTTATAAAACAAATAGTAGATGTAACATCTAGATCGACGACGGACGATACAAATTATATCCAAATCTACAAAAAATGGGAAGAATTACTGGGAATAGCATCCGCGACTTCGGTGAAGATGATATTAATATAAAACTTCTTTTTCTGAATCTGTCTGTTATAAATTAAATGCATAAACCAATTGAATTAAATTTCCTTAGAATATTTACAGAAATGCTAAGTGAAAATATACAATTGGTTCTACGCGTGCGTAGCTATTTCTCGTTCATTAATGCAGTGTGGCAGTTCAAACTTAATATCCCGTGTTGTATAATTAAAAAGAGAAACAGTCGCTTTTTACGTTCATGAATTATGCATAAATATTCGTTTATACGATCCGTAAATTTTTGTCGTCAAATGACTCTTCGAGCTTTCTGTTTTTGAGCTGGATTCTGTTTGCGTACTGTTTAGAATGCTCGTGCACGTTACGGCTAATGTGTTACCTGTTTTCAAAGTTAAAGAAATACACGGATATTAATATGATTCGGTAAATAAGTAAGTAAAGGATGGATTAAACAACTTTGAAATGTCTACATTAAACGCGGGGTGAAAGGGGGGGGGGGCTGTTTTAGCATTTACACTTTTGTTGGGATTTATTTAACTTTTAAATCAGGAAGATTTCATACCATTGTTATTTAGGATAACATCCAGTGGCTAGTTCAATAATTATGTTTGGCAAATATTTCGAAGAGAAATACGATAAAATAATTTTCTAGGGCATCGTACAATCGGTTTACTAAAAGTTCATGGCGGACTAATAAAACTCAACTATTTAGCGACATAAATAATATTGTCAAAATTTCACATTATAAAAAACCCAAGTTTAATTGTGTGTTATTAAATATTATTTTCAATTTGTCTTCCATGTTGGTGCCTATAATTTTGTTCACATTTGTGCTATAAGATAGTAGTTTTTATTTTCCGCCATAAACGACTCAATTTCAATTTGTCTTCCATGTTGGTGCCTATAATTTTGTTCACATTTGTGCTATAAGATAGTAGTTTTTATTTTCCGCCATAAACGACTCAAGTTTTTCTGAACGCCCACGAATTTATTAACGTTTCTCAATTATCTACCATATTTTCAATCTATACCAAATCATTGTTGTTTATTGCATTTTGATAAATTTCCCACCATTCAACAGTAATTCGGAAGTTTAATTTATGTCCAAAACGAAACAATTGGCAATCTATTCTAAACGTGAACTTTAAAAAGTTATATTTAAGTACAATACGAAACAAGTATTAACCTGTACACTAAAGTCGATGCCTAATACATAAAAAAAATTGTGTTCACAGAGTGGAAATATTCCAGAACACAGAGGCGGGTTTTTTGTGTGAATTGGTTCTACGACTTCGTCCGGTGCTGTTCTCGCCAGGCGACTATATTTGCAGGAAAGGTAAAGTCACTTTCACTCTACATTTCCTTTTCTATATAAATTTTCTTTGGAGAGAAATAAAGAAAGAAATTTCTAGATTTAAAGTTGAATGTGTTCTTTAGGTGAAGTCGGGAAGGAAATGTACATAGTGAACCGAGGGAAACTGCAGGTAGTAGGCGACAACGGGAAGACAGTGCTGGCAACACTCAAGGCGGGTTCTTATTTTGGCGAAATTTCCATTCTGAACATGGGCACGGCAGGTAAACAACTTGGTAAATATCGCCACGGCCCGAGACGCCACGCCATTATTACACTATTTGTTACAACTTCGAAAGTTTCGAAAAGCAAACCTTTCGAGGAGACGCTGCAATCAGGCCGAGGGAGCGGCCGCGACGCTATCAACAGGTTTTGGGACATCACTTGTACACGACTGTTACCGCTTTCGGATGCACTTTTTCACCGTTTACGACCTTCTGTCATTTAAGTCGCCGCGCTCTATTAAGCAACCGATTAGCGCTAACCAGCCTGTGCCATTTGTCATAGGGAATGCTTTCAAATTCAAATTTATAACGCATTTTAGATTATGATTTAATTTATTTTATTATATTCTTTCAAAGAAATTTCCTTTTCATATTGATACTTCAAAAGAAGAGATATTGTTATGTGGTAAGCTTAACTACTTTTATTTGTTTCAAATTGGACTTCCGTGGCTTCATATTAGTCCTCTTCAAGGATTTGTAGCGTCTTTTGTCATGTTGTTTTTCTGCATCTTTAGTTACATCTCCTTTGGTTGTTTTGAAGGCAGTGTCCCCGATCGCTTTGCATCTTCCCTAACTACCTTATTATACTTGGCGTGACCTCTTGGTGCATGATCCCCCATATTTTTAAGTGTCACTTGCGTACGTAAGATCTTAAACCATATTACTATTGTTTCTAAAAAAATATTTATTTAACTAATTTCGATATCCTCTGCGATTTTTTAAACTTGTAGAACTGCTTAGTTCTTTTACGGACCTCATATATTTACTAATTTTATTAATATCTAGTGCTCGTACCAGTTTCTGTATAAATGCTTTGTTTTGGTAATTGAGCACAATAAGAATGCTATAGAGATGGCTTCTTATCATTGTTTTACATCTATTCTTTTTAGCAATTTTATAAACGCAATGTGGCTATGAATACATTTCCCCACCCTGCGTGTCGTTTAAATTTCAAGGTAGCTTTTAATCTTTTTGTAAATCAGCTTACTTCTTAGTTCTTGAACTGTGATATCACTAAATTCTTGTTTTACCCTGCCTCTGGTATATTGGTCCTGGTCTGGTATTTCTTATGACCTGTTCTGTGTGTGTGTGGTGTATTGTCCGGAATGAGGGTCAGAACAGCTCATAAGGGGACCGGGCACCGGTTGGCATGGAGTGTGTGGATGACACGTCGACAGGCAACCGCCGGACAGCATCGGTTCGATCCGTCGGCTACTCGGACCTGTTCGTGCTGAGCAAGAAGGATATGTGGGACGTGCTGAAAGAGTATCCTGCCGCCAGAGTGCGCCTCGAAGCCATAGCCGTCAAGAGACTCGAAAAGTATAAGAAAGCGCCGCTCGAGAAAGGTATTGCACTGTTTAAAAATAACATGATTTGCGATGACATAGGGGTACTCTGATAGATAAGTTATTACCAAATCGATGATTAAATTCCTAAAAGAGAAAAGAGTGAAATATTACAAAGGATTTGGAGGGGTAAATACAAGTAAAACAACCTTTAATAGAAGTTGTCAAACACGAACGGATTAATTGTACCGATTTGAACGTCATCTAACGTCGTTTTGACATATAGAGTGACAACAGTATAAATTAATTATTTTATCAAAAAAAAAACACGAAGCTATTTAGTTTAGTTAGCGTTAACACATCTTTTATTGACTTTGGTTATGACTTTAGTTATGAACTCTTATTATTTTAAGGAGTACCCTACTATTTGTCAATAATTCAACATTACCACCAAGAGATAAGTCACGGTAGCTGAAAGTGGGTTTTACATTATTTGGGTAACTTACATTAGAATTTTCTTTGTTTATTAAATTCAAATGGTTCCATAACTTTTTTTGTCACATTATCCATCCCAGAACATTATGATTATGTTTTGGCCTAACAGAAAACCGGTGTGTGGCAATACTTTCGTTGCTTTCAACGAGTGAATGAGGTTACTGGAGCACATATCCATCCTTCAATCTGATTATAAGGGGAACCTCTAAAGGGTGGGAATATATTTCTTGAGTTGCCGGTAGACATGGAAATTATTGTTAATTTTAAATGTGTCTAAAGCCAATCATTACACCAAATGAATATGTCAGTTGGTGTAATGATTGGCTTTAGACACAGCGATTTCAAATGATATTGTGATTTCGTCATAGATAAAGATAAATGGCATTAAAATCTATCGAAATTCTTTTTATCGAGAATTACGAACTTTTTTTTTCAGATAAAAACCTTTCGCGATTCTTGCGCTAGCGTAATAATAATAATGAAGTCGCAGAGGTTTTGTAAATCAGTCACAGGTGTAATTATATGATTAGTGAATCATATGATTTCATTTCTCACATGTGATTGTGATTTTATACCTTCCCTTGTTGCCGGTGTCCACGGGCGGCGGCGGTAGTCACTTATCATCTGGTGACCCGTCTGCTCGTTTGCCCTCTATGCCATAAGAAAAAAATGTATTTTAGTGGCCATGGGCCGTTGTCAGTCGACGCCCGGCCTTGTTGAAACGAGCGGACGTGTGCCAATAGAGGAGATGCAGTTGCAGCCAGCGCCTACAGCGATGCTGCCACCAGTTCACTCTTCACATCCGCCTTCCTACCGGGACCAGCTTTATAGGTATACTACTATCCCCATTCTCTATTTCTCTTGTGAATTTAAGAAGTAAAATACATTAAGACTTATCATTTTATTAGTTATCTTGGATCGATTTTTGTATGAACAGTAGTTTAAACAAGCAATTTTAAAGGGTAAATATACTCGCATGTGTTGTTTTAATATGAGTCACAAATTAACTACGTGTACCCGTGTAGTATTATTACAGTACACAGTACAGTAGTGGTATTAACAGAATTTAATAGTAGGCTTTATTGTATCTTTCGGCAATACTTGAAAACTTTGTTACAGGACCTACCTAGGACCTAAGCATAAAATTGGGAAGTTTAATGTTGAGGTCCTAGTTAGGTTAACATTAGATAATAATATTGTTTAATGTTGACTTAACTATCTTTCATAGATAAATGTGGCAATATTATTTTGAACGGTAGGTAACTGAAGTTTCAATTTATTTATTTTCCGCAGCATCAGATCGATTTGAGTAGACGCAAAAATAATAATACAATACGATTTTTTTTTATTGTTTTTATTAAATGTACTAACTGGGAACCTCTGTTATCTTCGGAGTATATTGATACAAAAATAATCATTTTGAATGAAAATTTAAATAAATTTATATGATATTCATGCACCTCTTCGTACTATTAAAGTAAAACATTTGCCTGCTCCATGGCTCACCGATGAAATACGAGCTATCATGTTGAAAAAGATAGCGGACATGACGAGTTACAAGCGTCGACGTACTGAAACTAAATTCGATAAATATGTGACTGTAAGAAATCACTGCAATAAGGTGTGTAGAGAAGCGCAACGCTAACGCCAACGATTTGAATGAGACAACAAAAGCTAAAACATTAAAATGTCTTTCATCTGATCAAACTCCGAACTATTCTCCTTTCATTTTTAATCAATTGGCAGCTTGTGATGTTAGGAAGAGCATACTTTCAATCTCATCTAATGCGGTGGGAAGCAACTGCCTCGGTAAAAAAATGATTGTCCCCATCCTTGATGATATTCTCCCTGTCCTATGTAATATTTTTAAACATTCCTTATCTTACGGCGTCTTCTTATCTGCATGGCATGCAGGTGAAATATATTTGAACTCAACAAGTTTCTGTTAAAGAACAATCTCCTAAATCTTTTTCTGACTGGCTTCCATGCAGGATATAGTACAGTGTCAGCATTAGTCCAAATTACATATTACATTAGACAAAACATGGATAGCGGAAACGTAACGGCATTATCCTTACTCGACTTTAGTAACGCATTTGATACCGTTGACTTCCATGTTCTCCTTCGTATTCTTCGCTCTCTTAACATATCTCTTGGTTCAATTGATTGGTTTTCCAATTACCTGTTTAGGCGACAGCATCGCATTCGACTTGAAGACTCCCTCTTTTCATGGTGTAATGATACTGTCGGTGTCCCGAAGGGTGGCGTTCTATCTCCATCACTCTTCGTAATTTTTATTAATTCTATTTCATATCAATTACTTTCATCCTAACACCTGTATGCTGATGATTTGCAAACAGACTGCACGTATGGCGTAGTGGTTTAAGCAGTCATCCCGCCGCTTCCTATTGCGCTGAGTGTTGTGGGTTTGATCCCCACATGGGACAACACTTTGTGTGATCCACAAATTGTTGTTCTGAGTCTGGGTGTCCTTTGTGTCCTTCCACGTTCAAAGCTTTGATGTATGAGCATTATCTGTATCCCATAGTTGAAAATTAATGTAAGTATTTATAGTATTAATGTCTAAATATAGATGAGTAGGATTTCTGTATAATAAATATTTCATAGGTTATCACCTTATCTATTACTCTAATACCTATCACCAATTCAAAATGAATCCAGTCCAGGCCAGATAAAGCCGCCCTTTGTACATTACATGTATTGTTATTTTAATTACTTTATAATGTCTGTAAAACCCTGGTGTACAAACAAAGTATTATCTATCTAAATCTATTTATCTATACGAATATAAAGTTCTTTACAAACGTTTATGATATGGAAAAATACTTTGGTTTAAAATTTAAGTGTTACTTTTTTACAGTATATAGATAGAATAGTATCATCATCAACAGCCTTTAATAGTCCACTGCTGGACATAGGCCTCTCCTTAGAAAGGAGGTTTTGGCCTACTATACCACGCTGGCCAGACGGGTTGGTATAGGGTTTGTGTCAAGTTTTCCTTCTCTCTGCAGTGCTGGTGTTCTGCGTAGTTTTTTTTTTGATAGAATAGTATATAGATTTATAATTATTTTAACTAGTATGTGGCATCTATTTGCAAACCGCATGACAAGATAAATAACATATTTTACTTGTTTCGGTAACTAAACCACATTTTAAAACCAAAGTATAGGAATAAAACGCCGAACGTACAGCGGGGTGGACGCGAGTTGATTGTTTTTTTAAATTCCAAACTCCAAATTTATCTAAGTGTTTTTACCTATGTTATTCGCCCACTGGGTAGTCATAGAAGAGGGCACTTATAATTTTGACATTAACACTCTAAGAAAAATTGATTGTGATCGTTAGTGGGATCTGATCCGGCACTGCCTCAAAGTGGGACCGAGACTGCAACGCTCATCCGACGCGATACCGAGCGGGTGACGGCGGCCAGTGAAATAGTGATCCGCTAGACACGGTGCATCAATAACCGCCACTGCAAGAACGCCAAATTACAAAATTATACATTTTAGCTACACCAGTCGCAATGTACAGCGACGGGTGTAGCTAAACTGTACTGCTATGGGATTGTGTCATTGTAAATACTATTCTCTCTTTCGCTTTCCACTGTTTCTTGTTCTTCCACGTTCGAAAATCTCAACTGTAAAACGTACCCCACCAAAAAAGAAAAAAAACAGAGAATTCGAGTCAAATTCATACATCATCTGAATCAGACATCAGCTCGGCCGAATTGACGAGTGACCTAGTGAAAACGGATAGAAATAAACGCCCAAGATCGGCTGACTCTCCTCAAGGCGGGTCAACATTAGACTTCCAAAATCTTCAGAACACACTATCAAGTTGAAGGGAAGAACAAGATAGCAAATTATCTACAATTTTGCCTGTTATCGTTGAAATTAAAGCTCAGCATTCTCACAAAAGGGGCCAATGATGAAATTCGCAAGGCAAATGCAGAACTGAAAGTCTCGATGTCATTTATAAATACAGGATAAGATAAGATAATAAGGAAATCGAAGAACTTAAGAGGGAGCGCCAGGATTAACAAAGAAATATAGAAAACCTAGAGCGTAAGATAGTAGATCTACAGTATAAGTCACGCTCGTCTGTTATTGAACTAAGAAATATCCCACAAGATAATGCAGAATATTACAATACCCTCACGAATACTATTAGTAAAGTGGCCTAAGTTGTTGGTGTACTTGTTTTGGACTGTGAGATCCGTGATTTTGGAAGTATTTTTGGATTTCGAGTGGCAATATATTCTTGCGAAAGGGCGAGGGTAATAAGCAAATACTAATAAACTCCAATAAGAGTCTCCATGACATGGGGAACAGAAATATCTAACTGTGTGAGCTCGCTCTCCGGCGCTGTTATACTGCCCTCATAATATGTTTTCTAATTTCTATATTTTATTTACTTATTATATAAATCAAACTCATGCATACAATACACACGTTCACTCTCACTAGCCTAACATAAATCATTCAACTTGTACCACTCTACACTGAATATGTATGTAATTATGCAAACAGTACATATTTAATTCATTCCATTATAACTCTTATAAGATGCGATGCTATCGTGATACATTTATGAACTTACTAAGTGTTTTTCTCTAACCAAGGCTGTTTTATTGGTAATAATTTGTTGTAATATATTTATTTTATTATAAATGGCTATTTTAAGCTATATATTAATAGTGAACTTGAGCAAATAATTGTGGGTAATTCATATAATTGTAACCCAGAGGAATGCTTAAATTATGTCAATCAGACTGTAAACGATATAAAATTACTACACTTTAATATACGCAGTGTAAATAAAAATCACGAACAGCTACAAGTATTACTGCACTTAATAAATATAGATATTGACATAATTATTGTTACGGAATGTTGGCTTAGTATAGTTAAGTATATACCCATAATAAGTACTAGTAGCAGTACACCGTTCCTCGTCATACAACTCAAGAGATAATTTCGATAGATTATATTATTATTATATTTTATTAGATATATAATAATATCTAATTAAGGAATTTCGAAAATGGAACTCTTTGGGAATATGTTACTTCTTAATTTTTTCATTGTGTTTTTGTCCTTTAAAAAATTGTGTCGCTATCAAAATGAATTTAACTCGTGAACATTATCGTTTAATGTTTTTTTATGATTTTCGTTGTGGCTTAAGTCAACAACAGAGTTGCCAGAAACTTCAATTGGCATTTGATGATGAAGCACCATGTCGCAGTTTTGTGTATTCGTAGTTTGGAGAATTTAGACGTAGATGTGAAAGGGTCTTTTCTTTTGAAGATTTGCCTACGAAAGTTAAGAAAAGCCGAGGCATGGATAAAAATGGTTGCATCTTTTTTCGGCAAGTCAAGACATTACCCTACAGTATCGCTTGAAGATCAAAGGATAGTGACTGTATATTGGTATGTTAACGAACGAAACGAAAAGCGTCCTTGAAACAATGCCCTCCTTCACCACGAAAACGCATCCTCACATTCCGCTAAGGTAACAAAAACCTATTGAAGGCTTCAAATGTGTAACTGATGACACATCCGCCTTGCAGCCTGGACCTCGCACCCTGCTACTTCTTTTTGTTTTCAAAAATTTAAGGCAACCTTAGAGGCACACCTTTTATGAGCCCTGAATCGGCGGTTAATGCGTTCCATGAAACCATTGAAGAGGTTCCTAAGGAAGACTGGTCCAACTGCTTTGTACAGTGGTTTCAGCAAATGGAAAAATGCATTAATTGCGAGGGAACATACTTAGAAAAATAATAAATGTATCGTAAGTCTTATAATCTATATAAGACTTACGATACATTTATTATTTTTCTAAGTATGTTCCCTCGCAATACTGAAAGTTTCTGTATTCTTATAAATAAGACTAGAGTCTTATTTATAAGAATACAGAAACTTTCAGTATGCCCTAAGTATCTATAGCTGACGATAAACCCACCCGCAAGAGAACCCATGTATATCCTCGAATAAATTATGAGGCAATCAAATTAGAGTAAAAAATTACAGACTTTACGACAAGTTATGCAATGATAGATGCAAATTTAGCTATACTTCATAAACAGAATAAAATCTGTTATATCTAAACATACCAAAGAAATTAAAATATCAAGACGTAACAGAACATTAAAACCGAGGATGACACCTGGTCTACTTTAATGTATACAACATCGGGATAGATTACGTATGCAGATAACCTAATATTAAAAATAACCTACACCCAGTACCGAAACTATTGCAATGCGCTTCTGCGAAAACTAAAATTTGGTACGAAAAGAAAGAACTCTTAAAAGCTAGCAACAATCCAAAAGCATTATGGAGAACGATTTAAACAATAACGAATACTCAAAAAGTTTTCAATAGTGCAGAAGAACTACGAGTATTACAATTACATGACAATCCCATTTCATCTATTAATGAAGTCTGCAAATTCTTTGCTGGGGTAGGTAAAAATATGGCTGAAGAAATCATTTTACGGGGTAACAACTCCGAATCGTCAGTAGTTAATACTTTGCATCGTTAGTCACACGGTGTGTCAACCACTTCTGTAAATTCACTTGGTGTAATTGAGGTAGATGAGGTCGAAGTGTAGTTCTTGATCATACAATTGCGCTATTGGATGGGATGGAATATCGGCTTTATTACTAAAGAACAGTTGTCCGGTATTAGTGCCAATTATAATATATATTGGCAATCTTTGCTTGCAAACAATTGTATTGCCAGACTAACTCAAAAAGGATAATACACCCGATTCACAAGGGAGGGGACAGAAAATGTGTCAACAACTACAGACCCATATTTTTTGTGCCTACGCTCTCTAAAGTTTTGGAAAAGATTCTTAACAACCGGTTTAGAACTCTTCTAGAGAAATACAAATTTATAGCTGACAACCAGTACGGTTTCAGGACAGGCATATCGACAGAGGGTGCTGTACTGGAACTGACACAGCTGGTGGCTGGGAAGCTTGATAACGGCATTAAATGTATGGGGATATTCTTGGAACTTACCAAAGCATTTGACACGGTTTCTGTTCCCAAAACTTCTTCCGAAAATGTGGCGCCTGGGTGTGAAAAGCATTGTACAAGACATATTCAAGGATTACCTAAAAAATCGCACCTAGTGTGTTAAAATTGATATGTACCTAAGTGATGAAGAGCTTTTAACTTACGGCATTCCGCAGGAAAGTATCCTTGGCCCTACCCTTTTCCAGCTAAATGTTAATAACTATGTACGATGCAAACTCCAAGCTATACGCTTAGTCTGACGACACGGCAATTTTAGTTTATGGAACTACTTGGGATTTTATTAAAACAAAGTCAGAAACTGCTCTTGCTAAAATAATGAGTTGGTTAAACTCTAACTTATTAACCCTATACTTAAACTAAACTATTTTCATTCCCTTTACCATTCGACGTAACACCTCCCCGCCTTCTTCTTTTTTACATTCATGCATAGACCAATATGTGTGTTGTTCTTGCCCGACACTCAGTAGGACTGATAGTGTTAAGTACCAAGGTGTACTTATTGACGATGCACTAAAATGGGATTAACGACTAGATGCACTCGTGTAATGCGTCTCATTTACATTTTTAAGACACTCAGGGAGACTCCGAACAGCGCTACATTAAACTTAGTATATAATGTCTTACGCAAATTAATTATAGGATACTGTATCGTAAGAGTAGAACGAGCACAAAGAGACATACTTGAAGTTATGACCAAAAAGCCCAGAAAATACTCAACCACAAAATTATATTCAGAATATCGAGTAATAACAGTACATAAACTTTTTGTGCTCAAATCGATTCTTAGGAAGCTTTCTTGACTACTGAACTGACTGTGGACTGTGGACCCTATGAAGCAAACAAACCTTCTCCCAAACACCCCACACAATACCACATTTGTTAAAAACCAGTACTATACGCAAAGTACTCGTTTATATAAGCGAATACATAACAAGTTAGGTATTTTTGGGAATTGTTTGGGAAATCTTAACATATATGAAGTGAAATCTAAAGTGACTGAGTGGTTACAAAAATCAAGACTATTTCCAAAAAGAGTCTCTTTTAAAATACCTCTCATGACCCCACAAACAGTCACATACACATACACACACACGTTGTGTATGGGTGTGTATATGTATGTGAGTGTTTGTGTTGAGTTAATGACACATTCAAATACACACACACACACATCATAAATATATCCACACAATTGAATATATATGTATATATATATTAAATATACTCGTAATCAACATCAACAGCCTTTAATAGATATATGCCTCTATGCTCTCTCTCTCTATGCCTAGAAAGGAGGTCGTTGATGATATACATTCTGTGTACTAAGTATCGGGAATTTGTCAATAAAACAAAAAATACAAATTATTCATCTAAATTTATTTTAATAATACAACATCTCCACCGCTTCACCCAGTCTTTCATACATTTTTCATAGGCTACTTGCGGTATGGCCTTTAGCTCATTCAGCGAATTTTCTTTTATGGCTTCTATCGACTCAGAACGTTTTCCTCGAAGTGGTAATTTTAACTTGGGAAATAAAAAAAAGTCAGACGGAGCCATATAAGGTGAATACGGTGCTTGGTCCAGAACTTTTGTTGAATTTTTCGCTAAAAACTCTTTCACTATAATGGCTGTGTGTGATGGTGCATTATCATGGTGCAGCATCCATGAGTTGTGTTGCCACAAATCTGGACGTTTTCGGCGGATACTCTCACGCAAACGCTTCATGACGCCAAAATAATATTCTTTATTCACTGTTTCTCCCTCTAGAAGGAATTCGGAGTGAACCACACCACGGTAGTCAAAAAAAACTGTCAGCATCACCTTGATTTTGGAGCGACTTTGCCGCGGTTTTTTTGGTTTCGGCTCGTTTTCGAGACGCCATTCTGAAGACTGTTGGCTTGTTTGCATGTCGTACTCATAAACCCATGTCTCGTCGCCAGTTATTATACGTTTCATAAAGGTCGGATCCGTAGAAGCTCGGGAAACCATGTCTTCAGCGACATGCTTTCGCTGCGCTTTTTGAACAAAATTAAGCTCTTTTGGAACTAGTCGAGCGGCGACGCGTTTCATGCCTAAATTGTCAATGAGAATGTTGTGGACGGACTTAAAAGATATGTTCACCTCACTAGCCAACTCTCTCAGACTCATTCGATTTTCGAGCACTAGCTTCTTGATTCTGTCGATGTTTTCTTTGGTCGTAGCGGTTGAAGGTCTACCAGAACGAAGCAAGTCTACTACTACTTCTCGGCCTTCTTTAAAAGCCTTATACCATTCATAAGCCCTTGTTTTCCATATACACGATTCGCCGTAGGTATTTCGCAACATTTTTAGTGATTCACCACAAGAAATATCATTCGAAACACAAAATTTAAGGCACACTCTTTGTTCAACAATATTTTCCATTGTAAAAATCGCCGAGGACTCAAAACTATCACCAACAAAAAGTGTAGTTTAAAACAAATTAAATGACAGATTCCGCTCAAATTTTGCGCGCTTAATCAGTACAGTGCTACCAACATGCAGTAAAAAAAATTAGAACGACCTCTTTTACGCGGGTCTTTTTATTGACATATTCCCGATACTTTTTACACAGAGTAGTATAATGGATTAAGAATTTGTTTACCCTAATGAAAGATCAACACTGCTTTCCGACCTGTTGTATAATTTTTTTTTTGTGTAGACTGATAGCCGGACACTAGCACTTAAAATACAGGGATACCTAGTTTAAGAGATAGCGTTTTTTATTTTAGTATAGATTATAGCAACTAAGGACAAAGCACAATGCACTACTGTTAAATACCATCTAATCTATTGTTCTATGACGAGTATGTACAACTTATATCTGTATTTCTGGTAAACAAAGATTATTATTATTATTATAAAGTACTATGAGAATAACTTTATTCAAAAATTAATTGATAAAAAAAAACAAAGTATTAAGTACGATTATATTTTATTTCCTGATGCTGCTGCTAAATGTAGCACTTTTTCGATACACACATATAACACATTACAAAAATATATTTTCGAGTTTCAAGAGTCGTAACACTAGCTTAGACTCTTTAAACTTGAAAATTTAATTTATGGATATTGATAAAAATATCTACATCAAGTAGCTCTTGCCTCTAAAAGTTCGTGTTGTTTAACAGTTCGTCAGTAAGCCCTCTTCGAGTAGCATCGCCCGTGGCATCGCTTGCGTCAAGTGCGCGCAGCAGTGGAGCGGGTGGCGGCAGCGCTTCGGCAATGGCTCCGCGTGTGTTGCTAGACTCGCACGACGCACTTGAGTGCGAAATCAAACGCCTGCGTGAGCGTCTTTATACCGTAGAGACCGAGAATGCCGCCATGTCTGCCAAGCTGAGCCAGCAGCAATGGGAGGTTGACCAAAGGTATAAAACACTGTGCCCTCTTCTGTCCTTACAATACTTAAGATCAAGATATCTCGGTACAAACATATAAACACTTTTTAGCGATTGATTTTTTCTCAGTTTGCACCTAATATAATTGTCAACGTGTACACAGGCTACAAGAGATTGAAATGCAAATATGTGGGGGGAGCTCGCTAAGCTCGCAGGAGGAGAACGAGCGTAACCGTGAGAGCATCATTTAACAGCGCGCCTCGGACGAGCGCGCGCGGCTGGCCCCGCTAACCGCACTGCGCCTCTCCGCGGTCTACTGACGCCTGGTGCCGCTGCGATTCCTCCCGTCTGTCTTAATCGCCTCGTACTCTTGTGATTTCTGTGAACTTCGAACGTACAACTTAGTGTTTTTACGAGTAAATATATTATTATGGAATATTTAAATACGAATTAACTTTATCAAATTTATATATACGTAGTATATACGACTCGCTAATATTTGACGAGTGTCGTGGAGTGAGATTTTGCCGAGACAATATTATCTTAAAAATCGTTTAGGTACATCGGGGTGTTTCGAGTGTGTGGAGTGCGTGAGGCGGGGCGCATCGTGTGCGCCCACGCCGTTTGTACCCGTTCCTTTGCGTTGGCCGCGCTTGGCACTATACGCTGTGTGCAGAGCGGCCTCCACCTTTGTTACTATTGTAGCGATTCATAATTTATTAAGTGGGACACTTGGCTCTGTGTCACATCAATGTTCTACGATGTGCCGTGGAGCCTACCAAGATTTCTGTAACGATTGATATTCAACGTCTCCGTTTATCTGTTTCTGCAGATGGTATCTATCTACTACTATTTTCACTCTAAAATTTTGAAGTTTCTGTACAAAGTTATCGTGTATCGTATAATAAATAATTGATACTGTGTGCCAAATGAAGGCCAAATGAATGTGCTAAGGATAAGGATTTTACGTTATTCATAAATAGAAAAAATGTAATGGATATTTTCTTATCCATTAAATTTGAGCTTTAATTATTATAAATCCCGGAAGACTAAGAAAAACTGAAGTTACCCATTTAAGTTTTATTTTCGTCGAGCAGAACATTGTATGTACCAGTTTAGAGTTAGTTCAATCATAAAGTTTGGTAATCTATGTGTATTCGCGAAATATTATTAAAACTATGGTGTTCTGAAGCAGTTTTGACAGTTTTAAGAACATGAATCGACCATAGTACGTTGTAATTTGTTATGTAACAAGGTTTTATTACCTATATATTAAGAAATGTAGTGTTAAACTGGAGAATAAGTCAGTTTTTGGTAATATAAGATCACTACTGCCAAATAAGATTTAAGTAGATACAAAGTTTTAATGTAAAAAATTGACAATCGACTAAAAATGTTTTCTACTTGTATTCAATCTATTCAATTATCTATTTGGGTTATAGCATTTTATTGTAACATTGATGTATCTAAAACTGCTGTGCACAAAGGCATGTTACGGGCGAAAAGAATACGCTACACACTCGAGACGTAAACGGTAGCGCCATCACTACGCCCGCTGTGTGCAGACTATATACATAAATTTTGATTTTAGAATAGCTCCGAATTATTTTAGTCAGTCTTTTGGTTTAGTGTTATTGAAATACAAGAGATAAAACAGTACCAAAATGTGGACACAAACTAATGTCTAAATCTGCAGTAAGTAAATTGTAAATACTTATTCTAATATCTATGATACGTGTTTATAAGCTGTTTTTTTTAACAAGAAGAATTTGTTTTGGGAGTCGAAATTATACGATGTGTATCGAGGGCTAGAAGCATAACGTTGTTGTAAGGGTTTATCGTTTCTTATCATTGTAAACATCAGGTACTGTGTACCCTTGCATATGGCATGTAAGTGCAGACTTACTGTACCAAAGAGTATTGACAAAAAACGAATGTAACGAATTTATATGTTTTCGGTAATCAGTATTGTTCGTGTTTATATGCAAGGAAAAACAAAAATATGTCATGTCTACCGAAATGGCAACTTAGTTATTACTCCGTGTACGTAGGTATGGGATACAGGACGCCGCAGGATGAACTGGTTTGACCATATTATTCAATTTATGCATCATACCTATTAGTTAGTTACATTTTATTTCCTAAACGCCCGAAGATAAATAGATAGGCGATAAAATTTTTGACTGTAAATAAAATATTTATTTATTGTTATTATATTCCATAAATTTTTCTTCTTACATATTTCTCGATTATAAAATGGTAAGAGAGATGCATTATGCAATTAAATACTTATATTTAACGAAAAACGCAAATGCTTTTTATCATGTTTACTTGTAGGTCTGAGTATTCAAATATAAAACAACGCCGCGAGCGGCACCGCACGCTCATCACATCAACTGTAATTACTTTTGTAATCATTATTATAACTCATAATTATTTACTTTGAAACAAAGCAGATATGTTCATTTGAACTATAACAGTACTCGTAATATATGAATGGAAGTTGGGACGCGGTTCAGTAGTTTCTGCAATAACCAGGCTTGGGCATCTTAAATTGGAAATTTAATTATGTATCGCACATGATTCATTTTATTGTTAATAAAAAGATTATGATAATACGATGAATTGTTTTTATTCCATCTCTGTAATAATATGACTATTCAAATGCATATATATACTAATATACTAATATTCTACCACATTCACACAACGCCATCTAGTCCCAAACTAAACTAAGCAGAGCTTGTACTATGGCTACTAGACAACTGATATAAATACATATATACTTCTTTTTTTGTAAATACATACTTATAGATACATAGAAACACCCAGACCAAGTCAAACATTAAATGTTCATGCACACAAATGTCTGACTTGAGCGCGAATCGAACCCGCGACCTTTAGAATAGCAGTCCGTTACACAAACCACTACGCCATCCGGTCATCATTATATCATCATTATCATATATTTAAATCAAACAAACACCGTCAATTCAGGCGACTTGATGATTTAAGATTCATAATTTTTTTGATGTGATAATGTTTTAGCAACAAATCAAATTTTCTATAAGATATATATAAGATAAAATATGACTTTACCCGCATATGATACAAAAAAATGTTAGGCTATTAGTTCGAGAATTTGGTATAACTACATAAATATCGGTAATATTATTACCTCTTTTGCCCCGGCGATAATCGGTGCTTACACATTTAAAAAAAACGACTTGTCTTATTTGGCCAGTGCTGATAATCTTTACTTCACTTGAAATTTGATTGGTAATTTCACAATCCAGCAGGTTTGAACTGTTTTTGCTAAAAAAGCTCAGTGCGTTTACCCGAATCATGTTTTTTCCAACTCATCTGATGGAAAGTGATGATAAAGATGAAGATGAAATAGAGAATCACGTTCAGTCTACTCTTCAGTGTTCCAGATTTACAATTGGCTAGAATAACGGATAATGAAGTGGAATATTGCTGCTTAGACAAGACAATTTTTCAATTTCGTTTCAACTCTCGATGACGTTTTCCCGAGAAATGTTGGGGCGGCCGGTATAAAGGGCATCTCCTGTGCTATCATCTGCATAGCAATGGATGCTACTAGTTTGCAACGTGTCATTAATATGCAGAAGAAACAGTGTGGGTGATAGCACACAGCCTTGTGGGACACCAGCTACTAGTGTGCGCTTTTCGGGACACCTTTTGCCCCGCACAACCAATCTATGGAACGGATTATCGTCTGTGGTATTACCGGACCGATACGACCTTCAAGAAAAGAGCGTACTTCTTCCTAAAAGGCCGGCAACGCGTTTGTGACTCCTGAGTTGCAGACGTTCATGGGCGGCGATAGTCACTTTCCATCAGGTGACCAGTCTGCTCGTCTGCCCCCTCTAACATAAAAAAAAAAGAATTTTCACACAAACGAACTATTGGTATAACATCATTCTACTTCTACTGATGGAGACATAAGTAAATAAATATAAATATACTATAAACAGAAAGACGTTTATTTGATAAAGATATTAATTCTATCAGTTTCTCTTTCTCTTCTCAAAACGACCTTGAAAAATATCAAAAGGGAAATAAAGTACACATACAACTTTTTGAGGCTTTATATAAACTTGACAGGTGTAATAAAGCCAGAACCATAGGGATTTCGATACACGGATATGCGGAAAGGCTTCCTTGCCAAATACATAAGAAGATTATTCACATTATACCCCATTAAATGATTCTTTGATCCGAATCCTCTGAGACTTTCTTTAACATATTTAATAGATATAACTACGCCATAAAGTTTTCACCGTATGTAAAGACGGTGGGAGAGTAAATTATTTCATCAAAATTAATTATTGATATTCCTTCCGCGGGTACGGTGTACGTGGGTCACACTGAAAGTTTTTAGAATAGGCCAGTAAGTAAGTAAGCAGCCTATGAAAAATGTATTTAAAATTTTGAAGTAGGAACTTTTGGGAATCTATAGATGTGTACAACAAATGATTTGATAAATCATTTGTTTTTATAAAATGATATACAAAAAAAAATCGTTAAATGATTTATTACGACTTTTTTATCGTCTTACTAAACGACAATGTTACAAAAGACATATCATGTTGGCATATCATTACGAAGCCCCACCGCGTACCAATGTTAACAACCGATTTAAAGAAAAACTGATTTAAATGTGGTCAAAGCAAACTCTATACTGATTATTTCGAGAAGGACGTCTTTCTACGGCGACTGCTGAAGATAACGAGCGCTAATGATTAGCGCTTTAGCAGCTAATGATATCAGCTGATATCAATTAATTCGGGTAGCTTGGTATGAGTCAAGTATAAAACACGTCAATTACATGAAAAGTTAGACGTCAGAAAGTTTTGTATTAGTGACTGCATGACCGGCGTAGTGATTTAAGCGGTCACCTCGCCGGTTTGCCCCTATGCCATAAAAAATCTGAATTATTTTAACAAAAATGTTTTTTTTTCTTTCTGGTTTTCTAAATAAATTTTAGCGCCCCAATATTTTTATCCCCAAAATTTTATTAAATTTACCGGGATCCAATATTCTTCAAAAGGTGGAGTAAACAAAAGTCAGTATAATGTCTTGTTTAAACCAGATATTATATTATATAATACAAATACAGTCTTTGTATTTCTAGCATAGGCTTCTGATAATATTTGATTTCCATTAAGACAAGATTGCATAAATAATAGAAAATCCTACTTTATATAGTTTGGATTATTAACATTAC